CCAGTTGGATTTATTTCTAAGCTGACGAGACAATTCAGATATATGAATGTACATAATATCTAAGCCTTTGCATAGTAGCAAAGAGTAAGTTTAACTCTGATCAGCTTATCCTCTTTAAGAGAATTGATCCCCACAGCATGATGCTGCTGCCAATGGTCAATAGAAAATATGCTTTAAACAAGAATTAGCTAAGCTACTGCAGTCCCTATATAAATGTTCTATGTCAAAGCTTTAAGGCATTTTCTAGAATAGCTTAAGGTTATATTTAACTATATTTACTAGAAGGCACTCCTAATGTTTTGCAAATACTTCTGCACCACGGTTAACTATGTATTTTATGGGATGTTCAAATCAGATTCATTAAAAAAAAAAAGCTTAGAATGCAAAGAAGAGTTTAGCATGAAGATAGCCCAACATCACAGGAAATAGAAATCTAAAGGCAGGTTTCCTCTTGCTTTCCAGGTAGTGGTTAAAATTTGCTGTTGGTTACAGAGGTGCATGTTAACTGGGGAAGTTTTTCTCTGTCATCTATTATTATCTTTTTTTTTCAGCAGAACAGATTAAACTTTCCTGTGAGTCATGATGTGGTTCAGTTGTTGGCGTTTCCGCAGGTGCACCTCTCTGCCCACTCTGAAAGAATTTACAGTCAGCCAAAAACATGCTTCTTGTCACCTTCGTACAGGACGCTCAAACGAAGACTGTTTCGCTTCACTTGATCTGTTCTTATGGGGACGAAATGAATGTGACCTGATCTGACCTCACCTCACACTCAGAAGGGATGTCCTGTTTTAGAGCAACACAGATGATATGGCCCTGTTTAGATCTGCAGTGCTTTAAACTGAATATTAGTGCTAAAATGATAGATGATGTGGTTTATTACGAGCACAGAGGACTGTACATGTATCTACGTTTTTTTAATTGTTTATTTGTTTTGTTTGTTTGAAAAATTGGTATATTTGTAATAAAATAAAATGATAAGACAAGCAGTGTATGGACAAATGCAACAATGTCGCTATATATATATATATATATATATATATATATATATATAATTTTTTTATCATTTTATTTACTAAAAATGATTTGATAGATTATGTTTTGTTTTATCTTTTACTTTTATTAATTTAATCCGATGGGCATCAACTCATCGGGATTCTAGTTTCCAAGTTAAGCAGGATGGCATTTTTTACCGATTGACAAAGGTTGACATGAGCGCACAGAAACAGCTCCACACAGTGTTAAGAGAGATTCCACAGAAGCAATTCCACAGAAGTAATAAGAGCGAGAGAAGTAGCATGAACTCGTGGCTGTTATATATTTGGAAAAATTCATACTCTATACAAACCACTCTTGGGGAACACCTAAAGCAGAGGAGACATGTTCTCTAGAGTGAAAGTCTCCAGGAAATTCAAAATAAGCACAATTTAAAAATAGGTTATCGATCCTGAAAGGATAAATAAATATTGTTGGAACTCTAGGTTGTTTTCGTATTTATTTTTCTATTTCTCTCACTACTTTTTTTTAATGCAAAACATAAATATTTTTCAACCTTCTTGTTGATCTTTTCAGCTTTTAAATCCTGTTCATCTTGTTAGATTCACACAGATTCTGTCATCCATGCATTTTGCTCTACTTTGCAAACAGAAGACATTGTATTTGATGGTGTAATTCTCACCAGATCAGTGTAGATGATGGAGAACCATCTTGCATCAGAGATAGGGATTGAATCTACTTTTACTGCATGACAAAGCAAAATGTACCAATTTCTAAAGGCTGGATGAGCATAACAGAAACTCTAGTATGAAAAGATGAAATTAATCTGGAATACTCTGGCTCTACATGCATGAATGGATCACACACTTATCCATTATGGACAGACACATGGCACAACGCTTTAATGGTTATGGAGATGACGAGGAAAATAAAGTCTGTGAGAATACAGAGGTTATGTATACCAGGAAGAATGTACCTAATATTTAATACAATCTAGATGAAGGGTGACGGTTAACATAATGGTAAACTGGCCAATGAGGAAGGATGCCTGTGAACTGGTTTGAGTTCCACCTTGGAGAATAGAAAAATAAATGGGACATAAGTGGCGTGGAGAGTGGCGTTCTAGTGGTTAGGGCATATTTGCAAGAAATGCCTAACCATTATAGGTATTACTTGAACATTTACCAGATTACTGAAGTCTTAAGTTATAGAAAGTTGAATATTTTTGTTGTTTTTACAGGCAAAATGGACACTTGTGTTTTAAAGGGAAACGTAGTCAAGGTTCTAAACAAGTGATCAACAAAAATCCCAGTTACCTGCAGTATGTCCATCCAAATGTTTGTTTGCCTCTATGCCTCTGAGAGTTTACAAAAAGTATGGTGTATTCTTTAGTTTTTTGTTTTTATAGATACCTTTTGAAAAAATAAAAATAAACCCAGGGTAAAAACAGCAATGTCTGCCTTTAATAAAGATGCCTAAACCCAAGGTTCATGTCAGATTTATTTTTATTTCTATTTCCAGCAGTCATTGGTAAATCTAAAGAGACCAGTTAACCCAAGGGTCATATTTTTGGAAATAAAGCACCCATGCCAACACATCCTCAGTGGAACAAGCAAACTATTAGCTTTATACACTTGAACATTTTTTATTTAAGGTGAAATATTTCTACAATTTGGTGGAAAAATAATCTTTTCTGGTTCTGTGAAAGAAGTTTTCTAGTAGAACCAATCAGCAGTTAAACAAGGTTTTTAATGTCAATATAAACAGTCCTAAACTCCACTACTTCGAATCATTATCCTAATGTTCAGATGTGTTGCAACTCATTCACCAAATGTTCTTAATATTTTTTTTCACCCCTTTTATTATTTATTTATTTTTTATTTGTCGTTCCTCTATAGTTTTTAGAGCTTCTTAATAACACAGGGTTAGTGGTAGCACTGCTGCCTTGCAGCAAGAAGGTTCTCTGTTTGATTCCATTTTTTTTGCATGGAGTATGCATGTTCTCCCTGTGCATGCGTGGGTTCTCTCCGGGTACTCCAGCTTCCTCCTAGTCCAAAAAAACGATTGTCAGTTTAATTGGCTTCTCAGGGATAAGCATGACAGAAAACGGATGGATAGATGTTTGATTCTCCACACAATATTTTTAGTAAAGCCACCTTTTGCTTTAAGAGCCTAAACAGGAAAGTGTCAGCTGAGAAACTAGCTAATGTTAGCTTGTTATTATCTCTTTGTTTTTCATGACCTGATTATTTGGCCCCTTTTTTGTTTGTGGTTCTGAAAAAAATGTGTTTGAAGAAAACCCACAAAAACTTTTTTTTTCTTTTTCTCTCTCTTCATACATAGAGCACTGGGCTTTAATGTTTAAATATTAACTAGAGGTATAGCAGTTTACCGTCCTGCCTACACTGCAAAAATTAAAGATCTAAAAATTACTTAAACATTTCTTAAAATAAGTGTAATTGCCCTTAAGACTTGTAAATACGATAATCTGGGATGGAATGAGTATTTTTGCCCTTAAATAAGGATAATTTGAATATTTTATACTTGAAATATTTTTTTTTCTTTATTAGTTTAATGTGGAAATCATTGGGGGAGTCACACTTTTATTTCTCTGTTTTCTGATCAGAAACAATTTGGAAGTTCAGTAAAGTATTTAATTAGGTTAGTATTAAGGGTGATCCCCTTCTTTTCTCTTATAGGAGGTAGTTCCCCTTTTTGTTTTTTACATGAAGGTCATTGGTGACGCACCACCTCCTACTTTTATTTCCTGTGTAAAATAATCACCAGCTCACTGGTAAAAACAGTTTATAGAACAGAATTTGTTAGAGATTTTAGATCTGTTTTTTTTTTATGTTAGAAGTTTAGGTGGTCTTGACTTTACTGGGACCACTCCATGGGTTAATATGAATTAATATTATTATATTGTTGGTAGCAAATAATACGTTTTGTAGATGGACATTTTAGAAAAAAAAAAGATGATTTACTGTAATTTAAATGAAAAATGTATACTTTGTAAAGCATTTTAAATAAAATAAAAAAGGTCTTGAGAGTAGTTTTGCCATTTTTTAATTTATTAGTTTTTGCAAGCTTAATTTTTTGTTCAATTTTGTTTTTAAAAACATTTTTTAACGGTTTTATATTTTTTATGTATTTATTTTAATCAGCTTCCTGTTTTTCAGATTGAATTTAACAAACTGCTTTCTAATCAAATAGCATTTTACAGATCTCATTCTCTTTACTCTATGTAGTGAATTTTGTTCTATTATTGCTGAAAACAAGGCACAGGTTTTGTAAATTGAATTTTGAAAAAAAAAAAAATAACTGTAAATGAAACTTCAAAAAGGTGCTGCTAAAAAAAGGTTTTCAAAGTAACTGCTGTTTTCTCAGACCCCACTGTAAAAAAACATCTAGTTTTTCATATTCACACTTTACGTGTGTGATTTGTTGAGATCGAGTTTCACAAATTGCTTTCCTTTGAAATGTCATTTTCTAGGTTCTCTTCACTTAAGGCCCAAACGCTCACACTTAATGCAAATATTGACCAATGCGATTTTGTTGCTAATATCCATGCAGACCAATAGAAATGCATTATTGCTCCTCACACCAAAGGAAAGCCGTCCCCTAGAAGAGAAGGGAGTGCGATCTCTGAACAGATATTTGAAAATAATTCTTAAAACTCAATCTCAAATACTGAAAATAAATTTTAACAAGAAAAATGTGTTGTATTTATGTATAAAAACCTTAATGAATAGAATTTGAAAATATAAAATGTGTAAATAAAATTGGGGGAAAAATTACTATATGGAAAAAAAAAGAAATGGAGAGAAAAACTAAATTTAAAAAAGAAAATGAACATAATGAAACAGAATTCACACCATACCAGCCATCATCCTCAGGTTCTGGAAAAAAAAAACAAAAAAAAATCTGTATATATGCTTGATGACAAAGATATCTACTACAAGTAAAACAATGTCCTTGTGTCTCATGTGATCCAACTTTTGTTTCAGATGGTATAGACTCAACTCCAAGACGGGAAAGAAGGAGAAGGAGAGGGGAGACATTCAGGTCACCATCCAGTTCACCAGAAACAACCTGACGGCCAGCATGTATGACCTGGTCATGAAGGACAAGGGAGCCTCCACCTTCAGCAAACTAAAGGAGCGCATGAAGGGGAAGAGGAGATCAAGCGATGATGACTCTTCTTCAGCTGTAGTGCAAGGCGGATACAGCACCCTGCACAGGATGCGCCACAGACTGCCGAGTGATGGCGGAGGAGAGGAGGACTATGAGGACGATGAGGGGGGTGAGGTCCGGCGGAGCAAGATGAGGACCTTCTTTTTAAGAGGGAAGTTACGGAAGTCATCAGACACTCGCTCCAGCACCTCTCTGGGCTCTGAGAGCAGCGAGTCGTCATCGCGGGGCGGGAGCCTCAGTCCGACCGCTGGAATCAGTGTGGTGGTGTCGGACCTGTCCAACTCCCCCAGCAACAGCAGCAACTTAACTGCAGACAACAGTCCAGGTGAATCACACTGGAAGATTATTTCTTGTTACAACTCGGTGCTGTGTATCATACACTGCAAAAAAATTTTTTATCTAAATAATTTTTTCTTAAAATAAGTGCATTTTGTCTTGAATTGAGGAGGTGAGACACTTTACCACTGGAACAAAACAATTAACATTTGAAATAGAAAATAATTGCATTGTCTTATTTCAAGTGAAAATTATCAAATGATCTTATACTAAGAGTAAAAATACTGATTCCAATGGCAGATCATCTTATTTACCTGCTCAAATTAAGGGTAAATACACTTAATTTAAGACATTTTTCACTTATTCATAGATTTTTTTGCAGTGGATCTTGGATCTACTCAGGTTAACGGTTACAGTCTTATATTTTTCTTTTATTTCAGTCATGTTGGGAGGTTTGTTTAAATAATGAAGGTTTTAATTTGAAAAAAATATACTTGTGCAAAAATGTGGTCGCATAATCTTATTACATTATGGTTAACTGAAACTATTCCTAACCCTGACAGAGTTTGATTTATTTTCTTTTTATTTAACCCTAAAGTTTCTGGTTCCAAAAACATGTTTTGCTTAACAGTAACCAAACCCTCTATTAAATTCATAGCCAGCTTTATACATCTTTCCATTGATATTTAGAATAATTTTTCATCATGAAGCACCAAATAGTTGGCCTTTGAAGGCCTCCTAGCCATCATCCTAATCTTCATATCTTGCCACAGATTCCTAATCTGACTTAAATTAGACTGAGCCACTCCAAAACATGCATTTGAAAGAAGAAACCTGCTGGAACAATAAATATTAATTAAAATTCAGTCTAGGTGATCAGAAAGAGGTCTATGGCCACAAAGATCTTAGTGAAACAAACAAATCTGAAGATTACAGTCTGGTGTTAGTTTAATGAAAAGAGATTGGTGGTTTTTAAAAAAATCTAGAAAATCAAAAAAAGGCATTGCTCCTTTTTTTCCTCCCATCTTCTCTTGTGTTTTTTGTTTTGTTTATGCTGCAGAAAATAAACATCTTGATAATTAAATATTTGGATTAAGAATTTTAAGCAAAACAGAACAATATTCCTACACATCATAAAATTATAATCGACGAATATTATATTTTAGGTTTATAAATGTTTATATTTGTAGTTTTGTCCTGTTAACTGCTGTAAGTAGGTTATTCTTTCAGTAAATGGACTCTTTTAGGATCTGTGCATCTTTATTTTAGGTAATGATTCGATTTGGTTGCTAAATTAGCTAATGAATATTTAAATAATCGATTAATCACAATTTGAATAATTGTTTTAGCCCCAGTTTTGTTGGCATCACATAAATTTCGGAATGGTTCGGTCGACACCTTTAGGATATGCCTTTAAAAGGATTTATTATCAACCTGCAACAAGAAAACTAGGATATTGTGAATATATTAATGGTTTTAACAAGGGGTGCTTTGATATAACTTTTTATTTTATTATACAATACCCATATTGCACCTTTGACAATTGAACAATACTGATATTGAACCAATATCAACATGAATCGTACATCACTTAGTAGGGATGTGGAGAGAAAATTGATTTGTCAAAATGTCATGATTTTCTGCTGACCGATATAATATGAATCTTTCATTTCCTAATATCGATAAAGAAAAAAAAAAAAAAAACTTTTTTACCTATAACAATGAGAAAAAATGGGCCTCTGCACCGCCACTCTGACAGATAGAGCTGTGGAGCCCTTTCGCTGTGCAGTGCAGCACCATATCTGTAGTTGAGGCAGGCTCAGTGGAACAACATGGATACAAAAATAACTAAATGATCAATATCTTCTGTTGAACATATACAGCACTTGCTTTTTATCTATACACTTCATTTTGATAGCATTTTTAATTTTGATATTCTTCCCATGGGAAAAATATCGCAATATAAAGTGATATTGTAATATTGTGATATTGCCTTGTAACCCAAGTATCGTGACATGTATCACAACACAACATAGCTCTCATCTCTTACTGATCCTTGTATTATTTTCAATGCGTTGAAAATTTCAACAAAAGTTGAGTGTTTCCTGTTTGCAAAAGATTTTAGATGAAGGCCGATGTAATATACTGCATATTTGCTTTTTGGCTGATATTGTATCGATTTCTGATATCAAAGCCTGTTCAGGAAATTCATAGAATTAACCTGAAATAGAAATTAGTGCATAGGGGATTGCCATATCCTAAACGTTGAAAAAAAGATTCACCGGTTAATTTTAGAAGAAGAGCGTTGATAATGTGTTTTCTAATATTTCAATTTGATTTTAGATCCTTGCATTTGTGATTTAGTGCGGCTAGCTTTAATTTAAATCTGCAATTTCTGGGTTAACCTTAACTTTGAGTTTCTCAAAAGGTTTTGAACTTTTCCACTGGGACTGAAACAATTGATACGATTAATTGAGATGAATTGGATTGTTAAAATAATTGTCAGCTAATTTATTAATTGATTAATGATTAACTGGTGTGTATAGACTATAAAACATTACATGCATACTTAGAGCAGTAATTATACCAAAATAGTAAAAAAAATATGAAAACATTTTGCATTTAAGATGGAAAACCTTTTTTTTCCATCAATATGCTACATCTAAAACTCTTTAAGTGGCATAGTTCAAGCTTCGCCTTGTTTAAATTCTGTAAAGAAAAATCTTGTGAAGAAAGCTTTTGTCGTCCTATCATTAACTGAAAAGTCTAAAAACTTATCAACACTGTAAAGGATTTGGAAAATGATCATTAGTTGAAGCACTTATTTCCATGTTAAACAGGTTAAACAGAGCAACTGTTCTGTGATAAGTTCAGCCTTTCTGTTCCTCCGAATCACTTGCTCTGTTTCAGCTTCAGTGAATCAAAGCATGTTTGGAAATGTTGTAGAATTTGATTTAATGTTTTTCAATTACTTCTTCTATATTTTTCTGCGTCTTTTAACTTTATTTTAAACCTCTCATAGAAAATAGCTGACTGTCTTTTTCACTTGCAGTGAAGATTGTTGCTGTTACTGCTACCTTTTATCCTCAATTCTTTTTATTTACACCTTATCTCTCCGTTGCAGAACACACAGCAAACACGTCTCCTAAATCATCCTCTCTCAGATGTGATTATGGTGACGAGGCTGGCGAAATCACCATTGCAGTGCCGACGGTTTGCGTTAACGGAAGCCATGCATACAAAAACCAGGCCCAGGATCGAGGCTCAGGAAAATCAGCAGGTACTTTAGGCCTGGGACTGTTGCAGAAGTCCATGCCCCACTCCGTTTCACTGCAGAACCTCAGTACCAGGTCCTTCACAGACCTGCCCAAAGGCCCCGGTGGAGACGGGCGTCGCTGGTCTTTTGACAGGGCTGGCGAGGAGGAGAAGGCAGCCATTGCAGCAGCCCTGGAGAAAAGTGGCCCCATGCTGGGTGAAGAAGAGGAGCGGCCAGAACAGGCATCACTGCCAAAAGCTTCTAAGGCGGAGTCGGAGAATCAGGTGAAAAAGCAGAGGAAGAACTTGTTCTCACATGGGCGGAGTGAGTCTGCAGGGAAGGGTCAGAGTCAGTCCAAAGACGTGTCTGAACAGATCTCGGCTGCCACCGAGGAGAGACACAGAGCCTGGTTCGGATCAAAGGAGTCGCACAACAAACCCAGGTGAGATGCTCGCTGTTAGCACATGACATGTCAAGACTTCTTTAGCTACCATCTAAACTTACACTGATGAATAATGCTAGGATAAAATAAAAAAAACACTTTTTAAAAAATACTTTGTCGCTATATTCTCTTAAAGGATGGAAAAAATACATTTTAAACACTTCATCTTTATTGTCATCAGATCAGGTTTTACAAATTTAGATGTTTAATCCTCTGAGAACTAAAAATAAATGCAACACAAGTAAGGAGCAAGTCTATAGCATGCATTACAATAGAGAAATTAATTAAAAAAATAATGCTCTTATATCAAAGTTGTTCATTTGGCTTGATCTATATTTTAAATAAAATTTATTTTTAATGCCAACCTGTATCTTAACCTGTGCTTCACTTCCAAACCTACAAAAATACCCCCATAAACGTTCCCATTTGTTTGCTTACATACTAAACAAGTTAATCGGTGCATTTGGTGACCTTTCAATAGAGGACGTCTGGTCAAACCTGTTCGGTGTGTCACACTGATTGCCTGATCTGCTGAACGCAGTCATGTACATTTCAGTCCCTTTCTAAGATAAACCTGTTCCTCAGACAGCTAAAGAAGTCCTCTAAGGCCACAGTCATAGTAGGTGTTGCTTTATTTTGGTATGTGTTTTCTGGATGGGTGGAGTGCCTTGCAAAAGTTTTCACACCAATTTTCTTCACATTGTTTAAGTATTCTTTCTGGGATTTATTTTGTGATAAACCAACACAAAGAAAAGTAGAATTGTGAAGTGAAAAGTAAATTCTATTTAGATTTAAGACTTTATTAAATCTAAATAAAAGTCCTGGAACTCACTCGGATATTATGCAAGGCAGTGGTTAGGTCTGAGCAGTTATTGGCTTTGCAATATCCTGCATAAATTAAATCAGCTACTGTTCTTTAAAGGCACAGAGTTGTGTTATTTGACATTTTTAAAATGTATACGTTAGTAATAGGGCTGGGTATTTTAGCCAAAGTCCTGAATCGATTCGATTTTGATTTATACAGTTGTAAATCGATTAATTTCGATTCCATCTGTTTTTGCAATAATGAAAGTGAGTCAACTGTGTTTCAAAATACTCATGCATTTTATTTTTTCCTGTCACATTAAATACAAAGTGCAAACTTCTAAATCAGACAGTTTAAACTTGAGGTGTGAACAAAACTGTCTGAAAAGTGCAAACTTGTTTGTGAAAAGTGAAAAAGTGAAGCCTCACTCGAGCAAGCAGACGTGACACAGCAGACATGCATGAGCTGCATTATCTTCAATGCACAACGCATATTTGCAGCGTTGTCTGTAACAACTACAGGGTGTTTGCTGGTCAGCCTCCACTTGTTAATGTCATCAGTCAAACTATTGGTTATATTTGCAGCTGTGAAGTAATCTTTGTGGTCTGTAGCATGAGATGCGAGGCGCCACTCATTATCAATGTAGAGGGAAGTCACCTTAATGCAGTGGTTCTCAAACTTTTTCTGTCATTCCCCACTTTGGACAAGGGGGAATTTTCAAGCCCCGCCTGTCCCCATCGCCCCAACACAATGCTAATGAAATATTCAACAATCTTAAAATGTTCCAATTTTATTGAAGTAACAAGTAGTATCTAAATACAAATCTACATCAAATAACAGCAAGCTCAAAAATAAAGAAAATAAAAATGCAGCTGTGTCAAAATTTGTATCAAGCTCAAAGATAGAAACAATTAAAGTGCCACTCTGCAATCTGTTAATAAAAGAAAAGAAGTGAAATCCATCTGGCAAGACAGTTTATCCCTGCATTAGTGGCTGCAATGAGCCTGTTTTGCATTGCAGTTTCTCAAAACGGGGTTGCAGGCTTGATACTGCCACTCTCAAGTCATGCTCAATGTTCTGCTGAGATCTGTATTTTGTTTTCATTGAAGCAGCAGCTGAAAAGCCCATCTCACAGAGATATGATGTGGCAAAGGGAAGAAGAATGCACACAGCTCTCTGCCCGATGAGTGGATACTCGCTCTCCACTCCTAACCAGAAACATGAACATGTGGCTGTGTGAATCAAACGCCGTTATTTATTTAAGATAAAATATTTCAAATTCAGTTATTTATGATCAACCTGCGCCGTCAATCCCGGCGCATGTGCGCTTTATTTGCAGTCTGGACGCAAAAGTTAAACATGCTGTGTCTCTGCTCTGACTGCAGCGCTGATAGGGACTCCTGCAATAGCGGGGGAGAACGGGGTTGGGACGGGGGAGGCGCCCCACGGCAGCACCTGCCGCTGGAGGACAAGAAAAGGAACGATACGTGCTTTCACGTAAGAGTCTCCAAAAGGCGCTAGATTTGTTTTTTTGAAAAAGAGTCGCTGGAGGGGTCTGAAATATAGCGACAAAGTCGCTGAGTTGGCAACACTGGGGCGCGAAAGTTTATTCTGTTACAAATAATATGCCGACGTCACGTCAATCATTATTTTGGCACTTCAGTTCCAGGGGAAATTTTTCTCATATCTAATGTTCTTTTAATTAGACTGCATGTAGGCTAGTAATGATTACTTTGTGGGTTTGATTGGTCTAAAAAGCGGCAACATACAGCTATAAGGACAGTTTGCTCTCACACATTCTACATTTATAGTCACACACACACACACACACACACACACACACCGGAACTTGGCGCGCCCCACCTGTCACGTCTCAATTCCCCACCAGTGGGTCGCGCCACACACTTTGAGAACCGCGGCCTTAATGTCACATATCCAGCACATTATCTTCAGCTGTTTTAAATCCAAAATGGTTCCAGACATCAGACTTCAGGCGGGACAGCTTGCTGAGCGGTGTGTTACTTGGGTCAGCATTTGCACACGCCTGCTCATTTGAATGTGAATTATAAAACTAATCTATCTCATTCCCTAGACATCGATTTCGCTCAAATGTAAAGGCATCGATCCAAAATCGATTAAATCGATTTTTTACCCAGCCCTAGTTAGTAACACACTCTGTTTGCATACAACACTTCTTTAACTAAGTACATCATCCAGCTACCATAGTATTTGTTATTTTTGTCTTTTAACCTTTGTTTTTGCTCGGTTTGTTAGTAAATGTAGCCTTTCTGTGTAGATTTACAATAAAAACATCATGTGAGCAGAATTAGGTCACTGTTCATGTGTGTAATTGTGCAATAAGGTGAAGCAATTGTGGAAAAAAGGAAATAAAGAGAAGGCCCAGATTAAGTACTACCAACTGTAAAGATTGGTTTTATAAGTTTGGAGAAAATGTATGTATAAAATTTCTTCCTCAAAAGTGTTTTATTCTGTTATGTTATTTATGTTTTTAGTATTTTTTATCCCCTTTTTACACTTTAAAATGTCAGAATTTGCACAAAATTTGTTAAAAACATTAAATCAACAGTTACTCAGTCCTTTAGCAGCCATTCAATCAGGCAGTTTTTTACTGTTGAGTAATTTCTTAGATGACTCCTTCTTACTTTTATTTAAATAAAAAGGATAGTAGATCTGTTTTTAGTTGAGTAGAGTTGTAAGTAAAGGCCGCCTCTGGCTGTCACATACGACCGCAAAGAGATTTCCAGCTAGCACGTACATCCATACATGCAGTAAAAGTAATAACTTTTCTACATAACAGTGACTGTAAAGTCTTGCAACAATGGACTCTGGAAAAGCATGCTTTGAAGGTCAGGACACGATGAAACCCTGGAGATGAATATCTAGAAAATAAAGTTTATTTCTGGTTAAATCTGCCCGATCCGTGGCTGCATCATGCTACGAGGATGCTTTTCCTCAACCGTGACAACTAAGGTAGGGTAATAGGACAAGAAAATCCACAATACCCTTTTCAAAATGCATATTTTTTAATTTGCTGATCATTTTAAAAATGTTCCACCCCCTCTTTTTCCACTTAGCAGTCATGTTCTACTTTGTTTCTCTGCAAGATGACATCACGCTGAAATGTGTGGCTCTAACAAAGCCTGTCCTCTACAGTCTAAAGTGGGACAAACACTTGATGTCAAATACAAAACGAGTTCAGAGCATTGTTGTGGTTTATTTCCTGTGTATCAGTTTTATGTATAAAGCCTCTGGTTACAGCAAGTCTGCAATGCAGATGGAGGAGAGGAGCCACTCTTATAGTGTTAACCTTGTACAGCCCATAATACCCCTATGGAATAATATACCTCTGGTTTGGAAACATGATCTGGAAAACTCACTGCACTCTTTTAGACTAAAGGCTGGATAGGTTGTTCATTTGTCGGTGAGGGGTAGGAACAGGATGAGGGTGTCCCTTTATTACTGTCACATGTGCTCACAGTTAAGATGATCTTTAATTAGTTATTTGGTTTTTGTGGTCTATTTTAAATGATGCTGAGCTAAAACTTATTTTTCTTTCCAGTAATCTTTTAATCAGACGTCATCTAGCTCTTACCAAAATATTGCAAAAGTATTCATAGGACACTTGTCTTATTTAAGCTTTAATGGATTTTATTGGGATTTAGATTAGTAGGCAATAGTGTATACATGTGAAGGATGAACGGTTCTAAAAATTCTGAAAATCTGAAATGGGTGTGTATTAGCCCTCATTAGGTTGAAAACTGGGGCTGCATATCTAGAGAGGGAAGAAACAAACCCCACAGCATAATGCTGCCATCCCAGAGTGTTGTCATGGTGATGAGTGTGTTCAGGATAAGGTGTAATGTTTGATTTCCTCCGTTCATAGCATCTTGCATGTCGGCAGATGTAGACTAAAAGCTTTATTTACACTGAGATATTTGCAGTGTTTTTTCTTTAATCGGTAGCGGCCAATATACACCATTATTTACCATGATTTGAGATCCGTTTGTTAACATTCTGCTTGATTTGTCTGTAAATGTGTGTTTCTTGTTTAAATTTAGATGCTAGTGATATTTGTTAGTGTTTCATTTTTATGATGTGCATGGAGGTAGACGACGCAATATCACCTAAAGTGATATCGAATTGACATTTAAAAAACTGGCTTTACGCCACATCA